GGTTCAAGCTCCAGGCCCGGGCCGTTCAGCTCCCACCGCGTAGAGGTTGGGGGGCCCCGGCCCTGCCTCTCGGCACCTTTCGCGGGGAAAGGCCCGGAACTCTGCCGGCCGCGCTTTTCGCTCCTTCCTTCTCTTCCCCCAACAATGGAAAACAAAACCAGGGACATTGTAGGAACTACTGTACTATTAGTAAATGCTAAGCATTGTTCTCAGTCTCAGCCTCTCACAGCCCTTACCGTAAAGTAGGTGCTGTTACCGACACTTGACGAGGAGGACGCCTCTCCGAGCGGGAGGTGGCGGGGCCGAGGTCCCAACCCTCTTCACCTTCCCTCAGTGGTGTGTGTGGGACGGGGCCGGACCCCCAGGGGTAATGGGCACTGGAAGAAGCGTGTCAGGGTGGGCGAAGTGACTGAGGGCAGGGCCTCGGCGTTTCCAGTCTGTGGAACCCACAGTGTAGGTTCACTCCACGCTTCCTCGCTGAGTGAGTGACTGGATGGGAACTGATGGATGAAAGCATTGGCCTGAGCCTGGCACCGAGTGGGGGTTCGGGAAACGCGTGCTCCCAGGAACGCGCGTGTGCCGGAAGGTTTTAGGAAACAGGGGAGCCCAGGTGCCAGGACTTTGGGTTGAACGTTTGCTCGGCGCGGCGGCTCGGTTTACAGTGCTCGTCCGAGCCTCTGGTCCTTCCTCTGAGAATTGGCAACCCCTGTGCTCGACGGTCAGTTCTTTCTCATTGGATGTTTAACGCACTGATTGTGAAGAGCGGGTGTGTTTTGAGAGCTGCCGCTTTCTACTTAACAACGGCCAGGACACTTCCGGTCCCCACAACAGCGCTCGCCAGCCTTGGACCTCGGGGACCCCCGGCGGGCGGCCGCTGCTCCAAAGCACTTGGTTCCCCAATCCGGGCTGGTGGTGAGAGTCGTTAAAATAGATGCTGGTTATCCCTGGCCAGTGTCGTCAGCTCGCACACCAAAGGGTTGTGGGTTCGATCCCGATCAAGGCCAGGTACCAGGGTTGCAGGTGGGATCCTCAGCCCCAGTTGGGGTGCGTGCGGGAGGCAGTCTCTCTCCCTCTCCCTTCTCTCTCCCTCCCTCTCTCCCCCTCTCCCTCTCTTTTCCCCTCTCTCTCCCGCCTCTCTCTCCCCCCCTCTCCTGCCCTCTCTCTACCCGTTCCCTTCCACTCGCTCTAAAAAATCCATAGAAAAAAATATCCTCGGATGAGGATTAACAAATAAGTGCTGGTTATCTCTAAGGTCCTTTGGTGACCTGATGTGAAGCTACTAGTAAACTTCCTTCCTGGCTTTACTTAGCCCTCAGACGTTAATTTAGGGAATTCGGGGTAACAACTGCTTTATGCCCTAGGTAGGCAGCCTAATGGGTTGGGATGCTTGTGGGCTGGGAGTTCGCAGGTGGGCCTCTTTGCCCAACCCCACTTTTAACTAGCTCCGTCGCTTTAATAAGTCCTTCCTCTCCTCTGGGTTTCTTCAGCTCCTTAGTCTGTCAGACAGCTCTGATCCACTGCCTTTCATCCTCCCCAGGGCACATGTGAAAGCACTTGGGGACCTGGCTAGCTTGGCCCACCAAGGGGATTTCTTTTTGACTTGCTTGCTTATCTTTGCGGACCTGGGGGCCCACTTTTTAGGGAGTCCAGAATTTGAATTTGATGAGAGAGCCTATACTTACTTGGTACCTTTTCAACTGCTCTGCAGCCATCCTCTTCCAGTGTCCGCCTTTCTGAAAAGTCGAGCTAGATTTTATGCTTGCAGGGTTTGGGCTGGAAAAAGAAGAAATGGGGGAAATGCTACGAAATACAGTTCCGAACTGAAACCTTTTCAGTCCTTTTCTATCCCACCAGTTTTAAGAGAGTAGAGGTTGAGCAAAGTAAAACTGTTTGTTTTTGTTCATTTACTTATTCATTCAGCAACTAGTCACTGAGTTCCCTCTGGTTGCAAAGCACTTTGCTGGATGATTTGAGAGGATCCAAAACTGCAGACAACACAGACCCTAGCTCCAGGGAGCATGCCTTCTAGTTGGGAGAAGAAACAGCATAAAGGGTTGTAGTCATTTTAGTGCTGAAGATACTCAGAGGAGTACAGCCAGGGGGACCTGGCGATCTTCGAGAAGGGGGCATAATTTGATCTGGACCTCGAAGAGTGGGTGGAAGGATGACGACTGTGGCAGCTGTGCTCCAGACCAACAAGCTGCTCATTACTCCCTCGGGGTCTCTCTTCCCCCTCAAAGGGAGCCAGGACTATTTGCATCTCCCCTCTTTGCTCATGGTATGCCCTGTGCTTGGACTGTACTTTTATTTCCTGTGCCACCTGGCAAATTCCTTATCATCTAAGTCCCAGTTTGTGTCCAGCACCCCCAGCCCTTCGGGCTGCTGTAGCACATGTAAACCACTTTTAAAGTCGTTATCTTGCTGTGTTAGGATTACTTGTGTGCAAGCTTGTCAGGGGCAAGAAGCACCTCTTATTTGTATCTGTATCTCCAGTTCCTGGCACAGTGCTTGGCAAAAAGAAGGTACTGGATTGAATGAGTGAATGGATGCATGAACAAATGCAGTTAAGAACTTTAGAAATGATTGGTGGGTTTAATAAGATGATTGCATTCTAAATGCCATCAGTTCATTTACCAATGATATCTCTGGTTCTAGGTGTCAGTAATTAACACTGTGGACACCTCCCATGAGGACATGATTGTAAGTATTCTTTCAACCCTCCCTCACGGGCTGTGGAACTGGGCATTTCTGTGGGAGGGAAGCATTCGTGATTCCAGTGTGGCTTTGCAGCCTTTGCGAGTCAGACTGCAGCTTCAGGGGTATAGTCAGTCTCCCAGCAATGTCCTCTCAGTTAGCAGGGCTGTGGCAGTCTGGTCACTCTGGTGGGAGGAAACTGGGACTGGCTTGTAACTCAAGGCCTCAGTCTTCTGACCAACAAAGTAACCGGGTCTGGGATGCAGGCTGAGTAGGTACAGAGATTGACAACAGTCTTCCTACCTGTCTTTCTCCAGCTGTCACTTCTTAGCCCCATTGAAAAGGGGGTTAAAAGAAAAGAGAGTAGGAAGATGACTCAATATGAAGGCAGGGGCAGGCTTGGCAAAAGCCCAAGGCAGAGTCAGGTAGAACCACCACAGACAGAGGTGCCAGACAAGGACCTTTGGACCTGAAGTCATTAACTCAGGGTGTTTCCTGAGGCAAACACGGGCTCAGTATCAGACAACAGGGCTATAGGAGAAGGTTCAAAGATTAAAGTCTCCCACAGCAAAGATGCAGACTCTGCTTCATGAGGGTCAAGCAGTCCAGGCAGCCTTTGAGCAAGACCCAGGTCAGCTTACAGCATTTCCTCCCAGGGTTCCTGCCCACCGGTAGTTCCTTTGGGCCTTCTCAGAGTTGTCTATGTTCCCTGCGGTCTAGCTCTAAGATCACACCTCCTTGGAGTTAGTGTGGCACCATCAGGAATAAGATCCAATCTGAGACTCCTTAGCCAATCTCGACTCTTCTGAGCCAGCCTTGATTTCCTCATAGTTAAAATGGGAAAAATATGAATGTGATACCTGCTTGTGTGGGTTTCGATTTGAGGAACAGATAAGGCAAAATAGTAATGACTAATGTCTGCATGCTCACTAAGTGTCAGATCCCATGCTAAATACTTTCCATTCATTATCTCATTTAACCTTCATAACAACCCTTGAAGTCGCCCTATTTAAAGATAAGGAAACTGAGGTTCAAGGAGACTAGGTAATTTTTCCAAGGTTGTACAACAGATAAGCTGAGGAGATAGGATTTAAATCTGTTAGGTACTGTGCCCTACTTCCTCCCAAAGTGTGTGATAGCACTCTATAGGAGAAATGCTTCAGAAGTACATTTACAGAGAAGATCTGTCTTAACACATTTCGTACCGCTCAGGAGTTTTCTCGTGTTTCGCGCACCATCTGGTAAGGACCGCTCACGAGTGTTCTCGTTTTTCAGGCCCATGGAAAAGGGAGCGAATCTAGATACTTAGGTAAATTTTGTCTGGTCCCTCTTCATAGAGGAAAATGTTTTACGCAGTACCATTCGTTAAAAAAAAAGTACTAGGAACTTTAATTGTTTGTTTTTGTAAATAAAAATGTTATAATTATTGAAAAACAACACCTAAAGTGCATTATGATGATTTAGATAACGTGCAGTCCCTGGCGTATGTCTTAGAGATTTCTATGCGGTACGCAATGTGTTAACACCTGCATTGACTTCCAAGAAGAATCAGGACGTTTTCTTTAAGTAGGGAGGCGAGGAAAGAATGTTGAAGCCCAGGGACAGATTGCTTCTGTTGAAAGAGTATAATTGTTCCTGATGACCACAAGAGTGACAGCTAGTAGTTCTTGAAATCCACAAGGTGGGATAGCTGAAGAAAGTGCCATTTGTTGGAATAGGAAGGCCCAGCAAACAGTGGGGCAGCAGGCGTAGTGACTCAGAGGAGTCATTGCCCCAGATGGGCAAGTAGCTGTGGGCAGAGGTTCTGATAGCCAGTCAGCATCTCGGAAGTCCATTTATCAGTGGTTGGACGAGTGACATTTAAGATGTATGTGGACAGTCTGGGGTGCTGGGCACATTACTAGGAAAAAAATTTTTTAAAAAAGGCCAAGCGGAAACCCAGGAACAAAGGTCCACAATGGATCCAGGCCATGGATGGAGGAAGGAGCTGTGCTGAATAGAACCCTGTGTCTAGGCCAGATGTGCATCATGGAGTACCTGATTGGGGCCACACTGATTCCATTTCTTCTCCTTTGGGTCAGCATTAGCCTTTGGTTCTGGGCTAAGCTGAACTCCAAGTGTTGTCCCCAGTAGCTCACAGAGCCTCAAAACACAATGGGGGCTGAGGAAGAAGGAGACTAGGCCAGCTTTTTTCTCCCATACCCACCCTGCAGAACAGGATGAGAAAGGGCTCCCCATGTGTATAAAGGGTCTACAAGTAGCTGGGCATAGTTGTCTTGTCCCGTTAGGAAAGGTATTACATGTCAGAAAAGTGAGATTGTTGACATGCTAGCTTCCTGCCTGATAGTGATGATTCTTTGAGGTTAGATTACTTTCAGGTAGAGTCTGGTCCAAAGTAGATTCTCTGTCCTGGTAACTGGCCCCCACCCACCCAGCCTGCAGGCTTCCTGAGCTGTCCTCCCTTTGCAGCACGATGCCCAGATGGACTACTATGGCACCCGCCTGGCAACCTGCTCATCAGACAGGTCCGTCAAAATCTTTGATGTACGCAACGGAGGGCAGATCCTCATTGCAGACCTCAGGGGGTGAGTGCAGCCAACCGTGGCAAGGACTGACAATGATTGGGCTTTTCAGGGAGGGCAGGGAAGCCTGAGAGCCAGAGCAGAGCAGCCCCGCAGTGCAATTAGCAGAGAGGACACTCGGGTCCCAGCCAGCCTGCTGCCCTCAGTTGGCATCCTGGGCTGATGGATCCAGGAGTGAATCCAGCTCTGCCACCCCTGTACCCACTAGAAGATCTTGGACAAGAGTCAGTTTATCTGGGAGCCTTCACCCGCTCACCCTCAAAATGAGCTGATGCTGCCTGCTCCCAGACTCCCAGCAAGCCTTCAGTAGCTACTTTTGAATGTGGGAAACTTCGTTTTTTGCTTACCCAGCATGATCTAAGTGTCACTGAAAGGTGGTAATGTAAGAATGTAATGGTGAGTATATAAATCCCGTAATTCCGCCTGTTTGTCCACGGCAGATATTAGTTTATATTTACAAATGTTTACCCTTTCTCACCACTGAGATTCTTGAGATCCTGACTGTCATTTTTTTAAAAAAATATATATTATTGATTTTTCACAGAGAGGAAGGGAGAGGCATAGAGAGTCAGAAACATCGATGAGAGAGAAACATCAATCAGCTGCCTCCTGCACATCTCCTACTGGGGATGTGCCCGCAACCAAGGTACATGCCCTTGACCGGAATCGAACCTGGGACCTTTCAGTCCCCAGGCTGACGCCCAAACCAGTTAGGGCCTGGCTGTCATTTTTATGGCCACATCTCTATTGCTTTCCCTCGGTTCACTGCCTTTCAGATAAATGGGGGTTTTTAACCTGGATCCCATGGATCTCCAAGGGTTTCACGGATATAATTCAGGGGTTGAACTGAGGCAGGAGGAGAGCATCATCTTTATTTTCAGTGACTGATATTTAGCATTTCCTTCCATGAAGAATGTAGGCTGGAAATCACAGTAGTATTCATAGTACCTGTTACCAGTGGAAGTCAGATATTTTCCTATCACATTACAGTTGTAGCTATCTCAAAATAGTGGTTGCTAGTCCTGCACACATGTCACTGTATCATATTTGTTCTTTAACCTTTTCATAACTATTTCAATATAATTGGGTTTCTTGTCTAATCCTAGCTCTATGTATTTGATCCATTATTCTAAAAAGGGACCATAACCTTCACCAGACTGTGTAAGAGGATTTAAAAACCCCTGACAAGTAGGTGCTCAGTACATGCTAGTTAACTGAATTAAAGAAGACACAACTTAGGAGCCATTTGGGGAGACATTCCCTTCTTCCTGAGTGTCCAGAAAAAAGTGACTGAGGAGGCAAGTGCCACGTTTTCTGTGCAGCACCCCCTGGCTGAGCAGAGAGCTCCTGGGGGTGATGCCTGGCTGCCAGCCTGACAGAGGGGGTCGCATCAGCTGCCACTCAGTCCTTTCTGCTGTTTTTCTTATGCTCAAAAGATGTGAAATATTGGAGGGATAAATTGAGACCTCCAGTATTTTTTTGCCTTGGTTAAATCTTTGCTAGGTGTAGGATATTTGAACCTACTGAGGGTTTCATTAGCAGCTCCTTTGTAAGGCCTGGGAATGTGCTATTGTTCCAGCCAGAGGGAGGAGGAGACTCTGAGTGCCTGCAGACTTGGAGTGAAGGAGAAGCAGGGACAGCAGTAATAGTGACAGACATTGAGTGTGGGGCTCTTTTTGTACCGAGCAAGCTTTTTATGTGAATTGTCACAGATATTTCCCTCATGCCCAGCCTATGAAAGAGGTGTTGTTTATCCCTCCATTAAGAGACTAAGCCGCCCTGACCGGTTTGGCTCAGTGGATAGAGCATCAGCCTGCGGACTGAAGGGTCCCAGGTTCGATCCTGGTCAAGGGCATGTACCTTGGTTGCAGGCACATCCCCAGTAGGGGGTGTGCAGGAGGCAGCTGATCAATGTTTCTCTCTCATCGATGTTTCTAACTCTCTATCCCTCTCCCTTCCTCTCTGTAAAAATCAATAAAATATATTTAAAAAAAAAGAGAGAGAGAGAGACTAAGCCATAGGGAAGATGGTCCTTGCCTAAAGTAAAGCAGCCGGTGAGTGGAGAGGGGGCGTGAGAGAACCTGGCCCTGTAAGCCACGCATGTCAAACTCAAAGGCTAACCCGGGCCAAATAAGCAAGGTTTAAGTTGATGTGGGCCACAAAAAGACAAAAGCTTCAATTTTATTAATAAGTGTAACACAAATAAGCCTATTTTTTTTGTTTTCCAAAAGCGAAATATTTCCTGTTATGCACACCAAACAAGTTAGTACAAGACTAATGAGTGGCAATTGGCTGCTAAAATATTCACTGCTAATATGAGTGGAGAGAAATGGTGCACCTGCATGTAAAGCACATAAGGGAGATGAATGCACACGATTATAGTAATCAGTCATTAGTGAACATTGTAGTTTGTTATTAATAATTGTGTATAACAGGATATTGTTAAATTACTAAATTTTTATTAAAACATTTTTTACATACGTTATATTGGCTGGGCTGCAAAAATATTCGCTGTGTGGCGCGAGTTTGACATGCTTGCTCTAAGCAGAGTTACCACGCATGTGCTGGGTGCCCACCTCTCCCTGAACCCAGAGATGGCCCCAGCACCAAGCCTGGCACAGGGTACATGCTCAGATGATACTTAACATGTGAACATACAAAGATCAGAAGATAAGAGAGAGACGTACCTTTTGAGCAATTTTTTTTAAAAGAGTAGCAGAAAATACCAAAACAAAACAGATACTGCTGCCTCAAGAAGTTGACCATTTGGGAGGATAAATGATTCACTCTACAGATACTTAGTGCTGTGGGTGCAAAACCTAGATTGATCAGTGACTCTGCTGATGACAGTAGTTGTTGGAGCAAGTGAGGGTTCTGCTGGATTGGGACTGAGAGGCTAACTTAGAGTCCTGCCTCACTTACAGCACCTCTTTAGTCCTAGCCTGTTTGGCTCAGTGAATAGAATGTGGACCCATGGACTGAAGGGTCCCGGGTTCAATTCCGGTCAAGGGCATGTACCTTGATTGCAGGCTCAATCTCTGGCCCTGGTCAGGGAGTGTATGCAGAGGCAACCAATCGATGTGTCTCTCTCACATTGATATTTCTCTCTGCATCTCTCCCTCTCCTTTCCACTCTTTTTAAAAATCAATGGAAAAACATCCTTAAGTGAGGATTAACAACAACAAAAGCCTCTCCTGGGTCTCAAGGTCCTCACTGCTCAGTGAGGTCCCTTTTGGCAGTGGCATTCTATGTCTCCCTTTGAAATTCTTAGGCAGTTCTGTCCTGAGACACACGCTGCCTGCCATTTAGTTCTGTCCACAGAAGGGGCTGGCAGAGCCCTGTGGGTTCCTGGGCCCATCTGAGCAGCCTCTGACCCTCTCCCCTTGCAGTCATGAGGGACCAGTGTGGCAAGTGGCCTGGGCCCACCCCATGTATGGCAATATCCTGGCATCCTGCTCCTATGACCGAAAAGTTATTATCTGGAAAGAGGAAAACGGCACCTGGGAGAAGACGCACGAACACACAGGACACGACTCCTCAGGTACACTGAGCGCGGCAGGAGGTCGGAGGGTGGTCCTTGGGTGTGAGAGAGGCCTCTGTTCTGGCTAGTGCTCGATTCTTTCCCCTTGTGATGCTTCTTATTGATCCCTTGGGTTTGGGTTGGCTTTTTTGCTGGTCGTCCACATGGGAGATAGGCCCTAAGAAGACTAAAGCCAGTCCAGAGCAAAATGAGAAAAGCGAAGATAATACAATTCTTTAAGGTTTATTCATTTTAAGTACTGGCCTTTATTCTCAGATAATTGTCCAGCCTGCTTTTCGTTAATATAGGCATTAGTTTAGGAAATGATGTTAGCAGGTGGTGGGTTTTAAATTTCTTCAGTTGACAAAGTTACAATTCCCCTCTGGTGGTCCCTGCAATTGTTTTTAGAAATTTAGCAAAATGGTAAATCTGGAAAATCAAAGTTTGCTCACTGTGCCTCCCTCCTTCCTGCAGTAAATTCTGTGTGCTGGGCCCCCCATGACTACGGCCTAATCCTGGCCTGTGGGAGCTCAGATGGGGCCATCTCCCTGCTGACCTACACTGGGGAAGGCCAGTGGGACGTGAAGAAGATCAACAATGCTCACACTGTAAGTCTGGACCCTGCCTGCCTGCAGCGGGTAGCTCTGCTGACTGGCCATATGTCTCCTGTAGATCCCCTAGAGAGTGGGCCAGGGGAGGGGCTGCTGATCAGACATGGTTGGTAGAGCAGCTTTGACCTTCTTTGCTGTGAAGCCAGACAAAGACTGGGTTAGCACTGGTTCCTCTTTGCCAGCTCCTAAGTTGGAGAAGACCAGGGCACTGGCAAGGCAGCAGCAGCAGCCTGCCTACCTGCCTCCTTTGCTATGGATGTCAAGTTGACAGGCCTTGTGGTGGTCCTTGGGACCCCCTGGAACTGAGTGGTGTTACAGAAACATCATAGGAACTTAGTTTTCTGCACTTCTGGTCAATGGACATTAAGGTTGAAATGGTCAAGAAAACACTGTGGACATAGAGGGGGAAAGGGGGGACTCATATTTTCTTGAGCACCTACTGTGTGTCATGTAATTCATGAATGTTTGTGAACAAAAGAAGCTATCAAATATGCAAGGTATGCAGTCCTAGTCAGATTTTATGTTGAGGCAAGTGAGGCCCAGAAAAAGTAAGTGACTGAGAGAAGGCACTGCCAGAGTTAGAACTCTAGAATCTGCCTGCCTTCTCTCTACTCAGCAGTTATGGTTTTGATGGTCCCAAACACTTCTGAAATCTACCCAGATGGAAGGAAACTGAAGTCAGTTTCCCCCCATTCATGGATCCACAACCTGCCCAGCCCTCAAGACCCTAAGAACTTGTCTCAGGGTTTTATTACTTGGGGACTTCTGATCCCCATCTGCTGACTAATTTGCAAAAATGAATAGGTTGAGGGGGTTCTGGCAAGATATTGGGGAGGGGCATCATAGTTTTTCAATCTTTCTACATCTCTACATAAAAACAGCAGAACAACTAGATAGCAAAACCTAAACTTCATGAACAACACAACAAAATTGGGTAACAAGCTATTTCCACAAATTTAAATACAAATGCAGAGGAATCCACCACCAGCAATCCCTGCATAGTATTGGTATCTGAACAGGAGGAGAAAGAAAGCAACGGGGTGCCTTCTAAAATAGCTAACAAGTATTCACTGCAAAGCATAGCTGAAACTGGGAGTTTTGTGGTTTTATTTTTAACTTTTTAAAAAATTAATATCTAAATTCCCATACCATTAACACCCCTTTTTTTGTTGCTGACACTATTACAGATGTTCCCCATTTTCCCCCGCTTTGCCCACCTCCACCACTGACCTTCACCACTTTGTTGTCCATGTCCTTGGACTATGTATATGTGTTCTTTGGTTACTCTCTTCACCTTCTTTGATCCGGTCCCCCCACTTACCCCCCCCCTGAACTCTGTAAGTCTCCAGGTCCATCCGTGCTGTCACAGAGAGTAAGAGAGTTCCTTTGTTTACAGCTGCTTAGTATTCCATTGTGTAAATGTACCACAGCTTTTTTATCCACTCACCTATTGATGAGCACTTCAGATCTTGTTTCCAGATCTGGAATGAGTGGATAAAAAAGCTGTGGTACATTTACACAATGGATATCCTTTCTGAATGGTGTTTATTAGAATCTATCTTAGGATATATTTCCAGAAGTGGGATCGATGGGTCAAACAGCAGTTCCATCTTAATTTGATGAGGAAACGCCATACTGTTCTTCACAGTGGCTGCACCAGTCTGCATTCTCACCAGCAGTGCACCAGGGTTCCTTTTTCTCCAAGTCCTCACCAGCACTTGTTTGTTGATTTATTGATGGTAATCATTCTGGCAGGTGTGAGGTGATACTGCATTGTAGTTTTAATTTACATCTCTGATGAACAGTGATGTTGAGCATTTTTTCATATGTCTATTGGCCATGTGGTCCTTAGAGAAGTGTCTAGTCAGGACCTTTGCCAATTTTTTAATTGCATTGTTTGCTTCCTGGTGTTCAGTTATATAAATTCTGTGTGTATTTTGGAAATTAACCCCTTATCAGATGTATCATGGTGAATATGTTCTCCCATATAGTAGGTTCCCTTTTTATTTTGTTGATTTCTTTTGCTTTGTAGAAACTCTTTAGTTTGATGTAGTCTCATTTGTTTATTTTCTTCCTTTGTTTCCCTTGCCCTAGGAGATATGTCAGTAAAATATGGCTATGCCAGATGTCTGAGATTTTATTGCTTATGTCTTCTAGGATTTTTTATGATTTCGTTACTTACATTTAAGCCTTTTATCCATTTTGAGTTTATTCTTGTGTATGGTGTAAGTTGGTGGTCTAGTTTCATTTTTTTTAATAAATCTTTATTGTTCAGATTATTGCAGTTGTTCCTCTTTTTCCCCCCCATAGCTCCCCTCCATCCAGTTCCCACCCCACCCTCCGCCCTTACCCCCCAGCACTGTCCTCATCCATAGGCATACGATTTTTGTCCGGTCTCTTCCCAAACCCTCCACACCCT